GAGAGGAAGCGTACTTTTACGTTTTTCTGAAATAAAGTGATTTCAAGAAGTCTTTATGAGCTGACAGTGTCAAAACTAGCGAATTTAGAAGGTTGGTGCCATTGAGACTTTTGATCAGCACCTCAAGTATACTTTTGCACATATTATTTCAATTTTGACGGCGGCCATATGATTAGTGCGTGGTCCTTTATAGGAGAAAGGCAGAAATATAAACAAACAAAAGTTTTCATCTGAAAACGAAATTATTACTATTGTTTTCATGTATGATTTTAGCGATGATAATAGCTTTAAAGACAATGCAAGAACGAAGCAAGTACATTTTGACTTTTTTGCGATTTTCTTCAAAACCAAGCAAAAACGAACATATCTTTACAGAACTTTTTTCTTAGTTTATCGACCCCCTACACAACTGAAGTTTTGACATTTAAATTCCAGACACCCTGTATAAAAATTTTGCAATCTGTACTTACGAAATTGTAGTCCACAGGCTAATAGTTTATATGAACAAAGAATGTGAAATTCTTAGAATTACATTTTGACATTTAAAATTTTGTACGACAATTTATGCGTATGTATATAAAATGGTATTGATGTAGTAGTATGTAGTGATGTATCAGTAACACTTAAGTCGTATGTGTACAAGTTCTATCGTCGATAAAGCAGACTCTTAAAAGTCAAGAGTATACACAGGTCTAATAATTAATTGTAAAATTCTCGCATACAGGCAAAATAGATTAAACTGAGAAGAAAAATCCTGTAACAGTTATTAATTGATGAAAATTATTATCAAATTCGCCCAATCTACCGCAAATGCAAGCGCCCAGCAAGATAAAACTGCCCAGAGAGACACACGTTCTTGATTGTTAGGCATGTTATTTACAAGCGGCAATGATATTAACGTGCTTAGTGTCGTGCAAAAACGTGCATCTCGCTGGGCGCTTGTATTTGGCAATAGGTCGGGGCGAATTTGAGAATTTTCATCAATTAATAACTCGTTAATTAATAAGAAAAATGCAAAATGTTAGAGGACTCTTTCTTCTCAGTTTAATCTATTCTATCTATACGAGAATTTTACAATTATTATAATTATGAGATACCCTGTGTATATATAGTGCGTGCGTGAGTGCGCGTGCGTATGTAAAAATAATGGTCCAAATTATAATTATTTAGATTTCTAATTATGATTGGCATAATCTTTCTAAAAAATTTTAATATATTTGGAAATTACATATTGAAAAGAGTCTCATCTAACATTAAAATTGTTTTTTTTTTTATAATAAAAATAGAGATAGATTATTGTTTATTAAATTTATTTAATAAATTAAAATTGATTATATGTTTTTAAAGTAAATTAAATTCTAACCTTTGTCTTCTTTCAAATTTAGCGCCACTATTGGAAAAATACGAAACGTATTACACATCTCTATTTATTTTAATCAATTCGTTGTATAAGCTAATAATAATGCGAATAAACGTCGTTTCACTATACTTATTTCTGCATGTATCTTACACTAATGCTTTTGAGCATGCTATGTGAATTTTTTGTTTTCCTTTTTAGTCCAAATTGTTGTTTTACGCTATTAATATTTAAGTTCATATTTCTATATTTATCTTATTCTTTCATTTATATTTTACAGTATATTTATAATATATATTTTTTTTAAATTAAATTGATTGTGATTCTATACAATTTCAGTAGTTTGCTGCTTCAATAAAATGTTTGCCTAAGATAAAAAAAAATAATTATTTTTAGTATTTTGGTTATTAATTAAACTATTAAACGATATCTTAAATTTTAATCATCTAGTACTGAATAATCTACATTATATTATTTATATTATTTTTATATCTCAAATGTTATAATTTATTGTATAATAGTATATATTATACATCTTTCCGGATATATTGTGTCTTCCTTTCTTCTTTTTTTTTCTATCTCTCTTAGTCCTGTCAAAACTAGCTAAAAATATTGAAGTTTTAATATACCTAAAACTAAAGAGAAAAGAAAACAATTTTTCTGAACATTGAATTTCTCATGCTTGCTTGTTTATGTACCAATATCGCGTCTCTTTTGTTCAATGACCGATCTCCCTGTACATCGTGTTTTTATTTTGTGTTTCATAAACAGATCCAACAATCAATATCTGTCTATGTTGTAGGCGTCCCGTACCTAATATTCCCCCCCGAATTCCTGACAGACCATATTCTGGCCGACTAAATTGAGCTAGTCCGACACAGCAATGGTATATGAGACAGCAGCCTGTGCTACACATGTGATGCAACAATCCGAGACAGCATCAGGAAAGGTCTCGTGGATGACGAAACGACGGAGAATAAGATGTGTCGTAAGGCAAGGTTAACGAAAGAAATCCTTAATTACTCGATGAGAACACAAAGATCTCTTAAAGTGATCATCCTATATTACTTTCTGATCTCAACGGCCTCGATGTCGAAGATTGTCGAAGATTTGCCGAAAGAGACAGGAATCACGTGGAGTAATTATAATTGCAAAAAGGAACTATTTGTGCAGAGAGAAGGAGTAAGGCTGTGTTAAGCGAATACTGGAGGAGAAAGAGGAACCAAGAAACGAAAGGCAGACGTAAAAAGATTTCTTGTCTGTTTCTTGTGATCGAAATAGCCAGAAAGACTCCATCAGTCACTTCTTTAACCGCTTCTTTCTCTGGTGTATACTTCGTTTTCTATCTTTATTTATGTATAGCTAGATCTGCATTATATTACGGTGTAGTTTTAAGTATTAATACTGCGCTCGACATGCGCCAGATGTGTTTTTAAAAGGATCATTTCGTGTGAAACGACAAATAGAGATCTTACAACAAGAAGGGCAATTCAGATGCATTTCTCGTTTCTATTCAGTTTAAAAAGCCACTTAAAATAATGATTATCAGTATTATAAGACTACTAAATACTTTCTCAAGTGTACAAGTTTAGTCTTTCGAGAAATGTTGGAGTCGCAGTATTGTCGTATAACTTAATTTTAATTAACAATCTGTAACCGTGAAATTGCAAATGAATATAATAATTTTAAAACATCATCGGTTACTTTAAATACTCCTTTCTATCACTCTTCTGCTTTTATGTAATATCTGAAATACATCGTATCCTTCTTGTTGTAAGTTCCGTGGTGTAAGTGTTGTAGGAGCGATTTTTTTCATATACACAAGATGAATATGGGCAACTCAATTACCTCGATTATAGAAGAACTAATTAAAACAGAAAGACTAATGCCTAAATTCTAAACAGAATCGTAAGACTCGTAACATATTCTCGTAAGATTTATAGGAATTTTAAAGTGCTTATACTTTTATACAATGTCTTTACAGTCAACTTCTTACTATAAGATTTATAAGAAATCGTAGATATTTACTAACAATCTTTTATCTTACGATACATACGCATAAAATTAAAATACTAGTCATAAGTTCTTACAAGTTTTATAAGAACAAATTACGTGTCTTGCGATTTTGCTTAGAATTGACTCAAGTCATATTTGGTGAAGGAGAAGCGGAGAGCTTGTGACTGGATACACTATCAGCATTCCAGAAAAATTTTACAGTTATAAAAAATTATACGGAAATATAAATTATTGTTTGTGATCAATGCATTGTTATCGTAATGAAATAGATCTGCTTGTCCAATCATATCAAGATCTTTCATTAGGTACAATAACGATGCTATCTTTAAGGATCTCTAGGAATTCCGTAATGAACAACGAAACGTAAACGGTAGGGCTATTGTACTGACTAGAGACATGTCACAATTGTCCGGAACCGATTTGATTCCTTGAGATAAGGGAGACTAGGGCTAAATGGACACCTTTTTTTCAATTGAAATTTTTGATAACAAAATAAACGATTTTAGTCAAAAGATTATTACCGTTGTATAGGGTGATTATAAAACTACAAAATAGAGAGCAATATAAAGTTCTGATGTTTACTTATACTTCCGTTTTATCGATATACACAAAGAATAATGTAATCTCGGAAAATGAAATCTTAATAATGCTAGGGCTAAGTGGACACCTAATATTTTCGATACAATATGAAACAAAAACACGTCATTATGGTACAAGCAAATTACATTCAAATTATGATATTCAACAAATTATGAGTGGTGATTGTGGCGCAGGTCGTAACATAATTTCCTGTGTCAGAGATCACAGCATTCAAATTCATCTAAAACGTCAAATTTTATTTGATCGCCACCTCTCGGAATGCAATGACAAACTCCGAGAGTACCTTTGCTATAGCCGTTCAGATTAAATATCGGCATTAAATATTGTAATGCCTGGTCCACAACCTTGCTTTAATCATTAGGCTTTAAGCTATAAACACTAAAAAGTAAGCTATAAAACTTGACATGTTAAATTGAATAGTTCACAATATCGACATAATCTTTAAGATCAGTATCTATGAAGCAACGAGATTATATGCAACATAGCAGCATTTAAACATAAATATGAGATCAATAATATACATAATATAATATAATATTGGGTTTGCTTTGACATATTTGACGACATTTCGTCATCAATTCTGTCAATTTTACTTTCCATGTTGTAAAATACTGTAGATGTCATCACTCGCGATACACTGACATTTAAAATCTCGACATTACGTGTTGCAACCGTTATTTCTGATCTATCATTAATTGATGCACATATCCAGGACTGATTTAGCGTTAAAAAATGGGAATTGCCGATTTCGTTACAGCTTATGTTTTACGGATTAAAGTAAGTTTAAGGACGGATATGACGTCACCTAGCGCTCAAATTTTAACGCTTACGTCCACTTAAAATAAGGTTGTGGACCGAGCATTAATCCCATATATCAGAATGGAAAAGGATTGGAAGAGACGAATATCTAGGAGTGGATGAAATAAGGCTGATATAGATAGATGACGACAAAACTCACTATACGATGTTCATGTACCAGTGGAATCACTTTATTCGTCTCTTTTTTTTTTTTCGTTGGTATTTTTCAACAGCCAATTCTGTAATGTGCTTCTAGGTACTTTTTAAATGTTTTCGTCGTCGTAGCAATTTTTATATAATTCTTTTTGACAGTTAGCACATTTTTAGACATCCTATCTTTATCGACAGTCTAACAACACGACACTTAAAACTAATTAAACTTCGTTGGTAAAGAAGACATATGTGATACCATCTATATAACATAAATCGAGATACGTCAAGATATACGTTTTTGCCACTCAAAATTCAAATGCCAGCTTAGCCTCGGTCTCCCCCATGTGTTTTGTTAAACACAAAAATCTAAGAGACGTATTTTTTATATTAGATCTACAACTTATTTCTCGGCCATTTTTATCAAGTTTTAATGTAAAATTATAAAAGAACGAATATTAAACCTAATCAAATTAATCCCCTTCCACACATTTTCGCCATCTTTCAGGCAACTGTCGGATTTGGTTTCGGAAAAAAAGTAGTTATTTTGAGTCGATGAATTAATTCTATGGTAATTGAAATTGCCATCACAAAATCTTTGGAATCATTTTTTATATGTACTGTACGATACAGAGTTTTTACCTAAAGTCGAGCAAATCATTTCTCGAGTTTTCGCGGCATTTTTTTTGTAATTATTACGAAAAGGTTAAACCTCACTGAGATAATCTTGACATATGTTGTTTTTTTTTTCAAAGGAGTGTTTCACCTTTTAAATATGAGTTAGCGCACTACAAAAAAAATACATATCTCTTATATTTATGTGTTTAACAACGTATTTCAAGGAGAATTAAATCCAAACAGTTATGACATATCCCTTGTGGTATGTAAAAGATATAAAAGATGAAGGTATTGATATTAATTTCGATCGTGTAGAATTTTTTATTGACGCAATTATTTTTACGTATCTTTTTATAATTATTTTTGCATCGTAATATTAATAACTGCGATGATTTCGATATTGGAAAACGCATCACAATTATTTTATAAATGAAATTAAAATAACATAAACTGTAAACGAAGTAACGAAAATTGTACATATAGAATTTACAAATATAGTATTATGCGTAAATGTGTTAGAAATAAATTTTTGTATTACCAAACATTATTACGCTAATAGCCAGTCTTATAATACGTTTACACCGACTGATAACGAATGTGTATAGGACATATAATGAATCAAATAAATGAATATTTAATACAAAAAAGTTTTATTATTGTGGAAAATGTGCTCTATTTCTACTATAATATATCTTATAAGTGATATAATATTATTTATCCGTACATTTTACAATATTATTGTATATTTTTTATAATTATTTTATTACATATTACTTTGATAGGTTTGTTGTATTATATTTTATAACTTATTGTAATATAAATGGAGATACATGATTCTATTAGTGATGGACGTAGATATACAGTATGATCCTCTTATCTCAAATTTTCTTATAATTTCGTAATGTGTATTTTTATTTGTAGAGAATATATTCCGAGAAAGAAAATTGTCGCTCAAATCCCGTTTTTTCGAGTGCATATTATGTAAATACGAGTATATGGATTTAAAACATGATTGAAACTATTAATAATGAAACTATTAAGTTCTCTCCCTATATTTGTATCGGGCAGTGGACCACTTGCTTCTTTCAAATACTCTCAATGCTACGCTCCAAACGCTATGCTTGGATTGAACAATTTGACCCTCCAATCTCCTTAAGTGATTGTAATTTATGTTAATAAAAACATTATGCAATAAAAACCATTATTTTTATTCCGTCAATAAAACGATTATTTTAAAAAAGGATTAAGGATTTTTTTAATGATATATATTGTTTAAATATGTTTGATGAAGTTTATTTTTACAGTAATATCAAAAAGATTATGTAAAAGTGTTTATATATGTGTATAATATTATATATTTGGTAATACATTTTCAAAACTAATATTATAAAGTTCGTATTTTTAAATAAATATTGTATAATTGGAACTGTTTAAATATTCAAATGATGACTTTTTTATGCGACTACAGTTTATTTAGTCGCGGTGCGTTGCCGCGAATACACGCGAATACGACTATACATACAATTAATATATATGTATATTTAGCACGCTGGATGTTCCAGCGCCATGACATTAAGTATGTTAGCCATTGGAACTATGGAAGTGTCAGGAGGCTGCTTTTAACGCACTCTGTGTATAAATATATGTGTGTGTATATATATTAAATATGTATATGTGGCCGTGTTCGTATATTATCAGTATATTATCACTATCAGTATAGTATAGTATACGAGAATAGCTCGAAAAGTTCTCGGCCTAACACACAGAGATGGCATCGGGAGTATCAAATGGCTATGATTTTTCTTAAGTTTGATCTTTCAGAGGACCTCCGAAAAAGTTTCAGACAGATGCGGTTAGTAGTTTGTTGCGTCGAGTATAAAAAAGCTTTCAGTGGGATGGTTGCCATGTTTGCTAACGGTCGATCAGAAACGCATTCGAATGAATGTATTTCTCAAGAGTGTTTGAACATGTTTAAACGCAATCCAACCAACTTTCTACGACAATTCATCATTGTGGATGAAACATGGATTTACCACTACATGCCAGAGACGAAACAACAATCTAAACAATGGATGGAAGCGGATGGAAGTGTTCGAAAGAGAGCGAAAACTGTCTCATCAGCTGGAAAGGTGATGGCGACTGTTTCTTGGAATTCGTATGGGATGGTGTTCATAGACTATTTAGAAAAAGGCACAACTATCAACGGAGAGTATTATGCAGTTTAGCTGGAGCAATTAAACGATGTCAAAATCATGTTTTCTTTGTCAGGTCAAGAACTTTTCGAACTATATCTACGGGTATGTAACGATAGATTTTCAGTCAATTAGCAGTAATATACAAAT